ACCGGATCAAAAACCCTCGACCTCTAGTGCCAAACCCTAGAAAATGGTAGGCTCTGAGCCCTTAGTTGTGGGGTAGACTCCTTCAAACAGTAGGTTTTTGGCTGCCCAGGTAGAATCCACCAAACCCCTAAACCCTAACCCTAAACCCTAAAACCCTAAAACCCTAAACCCTAAACCCCTAAACCCTAAACCCTAAAGCCTAAACCAGCTGGCCGGGTTCAGGCTTAGGGCCTTGACTTGGGTTCAAGGGGCTTAGGGTTTAGGGTTTACCTACTGTATAGTCTCCATTGTAGTTCCTTTTTTTGGTTAACCAGTTTTATGGTTAGGATCCTATAATAGAGATTTTGGTTAACCAAAAAAAGGAACTACAATGGAGACTAGAGGTAGGGCTGATGCTTCTGGATGTCGGATTTCGGATCTACTAGAAGCTTTGGGCTTGTGGGTTCAAATCTTGGGCTTGGGGCTTCGGAGCTGCTAGTTTACTGGGCATTGAAGTAACCAGGGAGGAAAAGTGTGTGCATATATATATATATATAGAGAGAGAGAGAGAGAGAGAGACAGAGGATTACTTCATAGTGGTTCCCTTAAAGTTACAGGTCCCCGAAAAGCCTTAATTTATGGTACTCCAATGCTAAGTTAACGAAGGGTATTGGTGTTTCGCTAATTCGCTCTGGGGTTTAGGGTTTCGGGTGCAGGGCAATTATAAGTTATAGGGGCTGAGGTCTTGAATTTGCGTGCACTTGTCCATGGAGGAACCCCCTCTTAATTCAGTTGAAAACTAAAGATCACAGGAAAACTGTCAAGTCAGTCTCACAGCCAGCCCACAGAGAGTGAGAAAGGAAAGGATGGCTAGTGCTGGAATTGCTTATAGTTTGCTTTTCGGGCATGGGCCAATGAGTGTGGCAACTACCCCTGTAAAGCATGTTCTATGGAATCGCAAATCTTGATGCGTCGCTTCCACAACTTCTGAATTATGCCACCTAAACCCTAAACCCTAAACCCTGAACCCTAAACCCTAAAGCCAGCAATACAACCTGCTCAGAAGGCCCCCTCCGTGAAGTCTAGGAATTCTAGATGTTGAACAGCTCATTATCGAACTAACCTCAACTCCAAATCCGACACCACCTGGTTCAAAGCACTGGGATGTGGGCTCGGTAGACGTTACTGCAACCTGCAGCCGTCAGTGAATTCAGAGCTTCAGTGGTGTATGGCTTTCGGGCTCACGGGTTTAGAGTTGCGGTGGTTTGGGGTTCATAGATCTCGGACATGGACTGTGGCAACACTCAGGGCAGGGGACATGCTGTTCCAGAGCGAGCAAGACCCCTATTCCCAAAATACCTTAAACCACCTATAGTCTCCATTGTAGTTCCTTTTTTTGGTTAACCAGTTTTGTGGTTTGGATCCTATAATAGATATTTTGGTTAACCAAAAAAAGGAGCTACAATGGAGACTATAGGCAGACCCTCAACCGTAACTCGGACCCCTACACCCCAAACATGTCAATCACAAACTTGCTCCCAAACTCTTAGCCCCAACCACTCAGCCCTGAACGTACTCCCGAAATCGTTAAGCCTGCCATGTCCCTTTTCAAACCACTTCACGGCCTTCGGGAGACCAAATTCCAGGCCGCCCGATACCAGATGAGAACCAGCCTCATCATCGCTGAGCTCCCACATAGGGCGTAAGAAACTCGAACGGTTATGGATTTAAGGGTTTAGGGACAAATTTTACTTTAATGTGTAAGTTTCATGGCTGAGGCCTGCTGTAAAGCTTAATAAGGGTTTATTGGATTTAATCAAGTTTTGAGGTGTTGAATGGTGTAGACTTGTGTTGGCCTGAACCGAACCCTAATCCGTGACAGGCCTTGCACTACCTCATGACTAGCCCTCTGCAGTCTCCTTACTCACCTTTCACCAGTGTCCGGTCGCAGTGCCTGAAACATCTCCAAACTAGACCTACGAATACATGAGCCCCAAAACAGACCAAACAAAAGCATGAGGCTGGGATATCAGAAAGTCCAAAGAAAGCTGTTACCACTTCACGCCTTCCTGATACGAGCCCGCCTACACCAAGGCCCTGGCGGACGCAGCGGAACGGCGTGACATCTCCATAGCCTCACTTGCTTACCAGAAGTTGATGTAACCTACTTTCTGATGTAGCTGGACAGCCGGAATGGAATTGACAAGGGTGCTATACCAGTCAAACAACTGTACGCCAAGGCACAAGGTATACTTATGGCAGGTTTGGTGTTTGTGCATGTATATGTTTGTACATATATTATACGTATGTGTGCATATATACGTATGTATGTGTGTATATATATACACATATACAGACCCTAAACCCTAAACCCTAAACCCTAAATCATATACATACTCATTCCTTACTGGCGGCTGGCGTCTATTTGGGTTCTCCGCATGGCCAAGGCCCCTAAGCCGTGAAGTCTAGACCCAACTGCATGAATCCCATACCTAGGGGTTTAGGGTCCCTTTAAAGGGATCCTATAAGGGCTCCTATAAGGGATCTTTAGGGTTTAGGGTATAGGGTATGGTACCTATAGTCTCCATTGTAGTTCTTTTTTCAGGTTTAACCAACTTTATATTAAGGATCCTAAAATCCTAAAAGTAACCCCCAAAAGGGAACTACAATGGAGACTATAGGTAGGGACCCCCCCAAAAGCGCACCTACACACAAACCATAAGTTGGATATCCCATATTTAGGTATAAGCCAATAAAGTGCCCTGCACCTCCATCCTCGAGACGTGGCTGAGGCTGCAGCCCCAGCGTCTATCCTCGACCACGGCCTTTGTTGAAGGGTTAAGATTTCGGGTTTAGGGGACTTGCTATTTAGAGTAGTATTGTAATATCCTTAAGGGAGGGGGGTCCAAGGGGGGTATATAGCCTAGTGATCCCTAATTCTCCCTAGTACTCCCTAAGGTTCCCTTACAGTCCCCTAAGGGTTCCTTATAACTTATACCCTCCCCCCTTGAACCACCCTCCCTTAAGGACCCTATAGTAGTAACTCAGTACTACTTCAGGTTGAGTGCTTTGGGCTCTCGGCTTGAAATTTCCTTCCTACCTAGAGTCTCCATTCTTGTTCCTTTTTTTGGTTTAACCAATTATATATTAAGGATCCCATAAGGTAACCGGAAAAAGGAACTACAATGGATACTATAGGTAGGGTCGATGGCTGCCATTGTTGCTCACCACTCTTGCCACTCGGATTCTTGTGCTGCGTAGTCAAGCTCACCGGACCAAACGCCCGTAAGCCTCATCGCTAATTACCTAGAGGGTCATACCCTACCCCTTTTTTGGGATACCTAGTTTTATGGTTAGGTTCTCTTATAAAGAAAAGTAGGTACCTTAAAAAAGGGGTAGGGTATGACCCTATAGGTACCGGCTGTTCCGGGCCTCGGACTTACAGTCAGCTCACAGAATCGGATCGGATTATAAAATACCTATAGTCTCCATTGTTGTTCCTTTTTTTGGTTTAACAAATTATATATTTAGGATCCCATAAGGTAAACGGAAAAAGGAACTACAATGGAGACTATAGGTATACTTGAGGAAGCTACTTTGATCCATGTGGCGATGTGCAAACACAGACGAGCTGCGCATGCGGGTTGATTTAGTCTACCACACGTGGTTCGGAACCCAAGTACACCCAGACTCTAAATATCAGCCCACATGTGTGATCACATCCTTCTAGCTCCAAAGTCAGGGCGGAAAGGTCTCCAACCGACGGTGTACTTGGAGGGTCGGGGGACTTAGTAAGTAGGTAGTAAGTAGACTTATAAGTACTCTAAAAGGGACCCTAATTGGGGTTATGGTACTTATAAGTCCCTAAAATAACCAGTTACTAAGTCCCCCGACCCTCCAAGTATTCCCAAAGTAGCAATGCGGCTTTGTCGTCCATGACACGGTCCGGGAATTGAGGCGCCAGACTTTTTCGGTTCCCAACCACCCTGAACCCTAAACCCTGAATCCTACCTATAGCCTCCCAGCAGAGAAATGGCTCCTATTCCCTTTAGGGTTTAGGGTTTAGGGTATAGTGGCTATAGTCTCCATTGTAGTTCCTTTTTTTGGTTAACCAGTTTTATGGTTAGGATCCTATAATACAGATTTTGGTTAGCCAAAAAAAAGGAACTACAAGGGAGACTATATACGTAAACCCTGAATCCTAGACCCGAATCCCCAAAGCTCGGCGCCGGGAACCTGGAAAGTCCCTTGTTCTAGACCCAAGAGTAACCTAGGAATAAAAAGGGTGCCCTTTTCGGTTTAAAGGGGCGTATAAGGGAACATGAACCCTTAAAGAAGGGAATAAGGGCCTACTCTAGGTCCTAGTGTTTGGAAGCTTCGATTGAAGTCCCTTCAAGAGGATTGAAAACTTCACTGCACCGTGGTTATGGTTCTTATGATCGTAGCTCTGTTGGGGCGGAGCCATTTAGAGGTTTAGGGTTTAGGGGTTTAGGGATTAGGGGTTTTGGGATCAACCGCTCTGAAACTGCCAGCCTCTGGTAGCAGCACCAGCATTTCCACCTCGCATCGATGAGTGTGCGCACTGTGCGGCTTGCTGTGCCATGGAGTACAAGCGAGCATGAGCCACGCCAGCGCCCTCCGTGGTAAAAAGCAGCATGGCTGTGCTGTTGTGGATCAGCTAGAGGACGGAAGAAGACTTCGGGCATTATCTGCCATGGCACAGTTTACAAGAATAAGACCCTGAGTCACAATTGAGCAGAAAAGCATGATGTATGTTCGCTGGAGACGCAGACACGGCTTTTAGAACCAACAAAGAGCTACCCAGCATTTTGCCCAATGTTGATGTTGCTCCCTGCTTTCTTTTGCAACTGTCGCATCGCCGCACATCGCACGTCAAGTTCGTACCACAAAATCACAGGTACAAGACAGAAAACTTCCTCTACGGGCATGGCACTGCAGGTGCTCCACTCCGCACTGGGGCCAGATCTGGCTTAGTGAAGCAACTCATGCTGCGAATATTTTCACAATTCGGCCAGGCACATGTAGGCACCTCATCCGTGCTCAGGAGGGCTCACACAAACAACATTTAGCTTGATTTCGAATATCTTGCTGCTCTGCAATCATCATCATCAGTATCATCACCATCATCATCATCAACACCATCAGCATAAACATCATAAAGAAGCAAGAAGAGAAGCGATGATAACAAACACACAGATCGCGCCTTACGAGCCGCCCTACTATCAGTGATGAAATAACGGTACCAGTAACATCGGAATGACAACAGCAAAACGTTACGAAGCCACTTGATTAAAAAACACAGCTATGATTAGTTCGTAAAGCGACTCGAACTATGCTGCAAACAACTCACAAGCAACCCCTGGCCTCCTCTCCCTCAATGGCAGCGGCCGTCACCGGCACCGGTACACCACAGCTTTGCAAGCCTGAGGAGCCCGGCTGTCTGAATCAGCTTCCCCAGGGGTCCCAAGGACCCAATCATCAGGTACTCGGTTTTAGGATAGTAGTTATGTAGGTTACTTTTTTGGAGAGTATATGATAATTAGGTACTCTTAGGGTTTGAACCAGTGCTTAGGGGGACAATTTCAGAACGGTTTCCGCGTCAGAACTTCTCTGGCGAGTTTCGCCAAGCTGACGACTAGCTAAGCGAACTCGAACTTTAGGATACAAAGATCAGGGAGTTTATGTGCTCTGATGTTGAAACGGATATGGTTGGGGTATGATTCTACCAAGATTTCGGAAGGATCGTCGAAGGGCTCTTACCTCCTCGTATCTGCTGTCAGGCAGTGCCTGTCGTGTTTAGTGGTCTAGGGATTAGGGTGATTAGGGCGTATACAGTAGAAGCCGTAGAAGCCCAAAAGTTGGAAACGCAATAGCCTCAATCCTTGGGAGTAATGTATAGGGAATCCCAGCACTATGCGGCCTTCATCCGGTTTCCAACTTTCTGGGGTTTACTCTAAGACTGCCCCTAGACCCTAAACCCTAATCCCCTAAACCCTAATCCCCTAAACCCCCCTATACCCTAATACCCTTACGAACCGTAGGCTTTGAGGCTTCAGAGCTTGAGAGCTACAGCCATGGCTTAGCAGCTTGAGCCCCAGCCTTGAGGGCTTGATGGTTTTAGGGTTGTAGGGTTGAGGGTTAGGGGCCTGAGGGTTTTAGGGTTGAGGGTTTAAGGCTTTAGGGTTTTAGTTGAGGGTTGAGGGCTTTAGGGTTTTAGTTGAGGGTTTAGGGCTTTAGGGCTTTAGGGTTTTTGGGTTTAGGGCTTGAGGGTTGTAGGGGCTTTTGGGTTTAGGGTTTAGGGTTTAGGGCTTTAGGGTTTTAAGGGTTTTCGGGTTTAGGGCTTCAGGGCTTTGGGGTGTTTGGCTTTATGGCTTCAGGGTTTTTGGGTTTAAGGCTTTTTTGAATGCCACCGGTGGCTGAGGGGTGTTGGTTTAAGGCTTTAGGGCTTAGGGTTGTACCTAGAGTCTCAAATGTAGTTCTTTTTGTTTAACCAGTTATATATTAAGGATCCTGTAAGGGTAAGCCAAAAAAGAAACTGCATTGGAGACTATAGGTAGGGTTGAGGGTTAAGGGCTTTAGGGTTTTGGGACTAGTGCAGCGTCCTAGAACAGTTGAGGTGAGCCTTTGGTGGTAAATAGGAAGGGATGAAGGATTGTCGTACCCAAACGGCAGTATAGCGGCTGCCCACGCTGCCGCTCAGAAATTGTTTAGATACTCTTGGCAGGCTTACAGAGAGATGGAGTCTCAGATGTCGCAAGCGGTGACGAAGATAATCAAACACATACATAGCGTCATAGCGGGTTTACGGTTTAGGAATTATGCTTATGCGGTTACCTAGACTGTTGGAGGTACCGCTACCTCGAGCTGAAGACCTCCAGATGCGCTCCTCCTTGTACACCTAAGCCTTAAACCCCCCTTTTGGTCTTGGTAATTGTTTGGCAATAATACCCTAAGCCCTAAACGACCCTAAACCTTGAACCCCAAATAATGTTGGTAATTATTCAGGCCCCTACCCCAAGGGTCCAAAGGACCCAATAATCAGGTACTCGGCTTTAGGATAGTAGTTATGTAGGTTAGGATTTTGGAGAGTATATGATTATTGGGTACGTGGACCCTCAGGGTACTATAAGGGGGTACTATAAGAGATTCTCTAAGGGATCTATAGGGTTGAGGGTTGGGGGTTTGGGATGTTGAACCCCAAAATAGTATTGGTAATTACTAAGGCCCCTATAGTACACCTCAGCCTTTGGGGTGGCTAAGCTTCGCGCGAACATCGCGGACGGAGATCAGGACCTGGTCGGGTGCTGCTGCCAGGTAGACAGAGATGGGAGTTTCCGGAAATAGGGGACGCTGATACCCAGACCCCCGGGAGGATCCAAAAAGTAGATCCCTTAATGGGGGTTCCTATAAAGTACCCTTAGTAGTATAGGGCCCCAAATTAGGGGATCTACTTTCTAGATCCTCCCGGGGGTCTGGGTATAGAGTGTAAGGTTCCTTTGAAGGGATCTTTAAGGGCTTCTAGAATGGTTTAGGGTTTAGGGTTGGGAGTTTCCGAAGATAGGGGACCCAAGCATAGTACCCTAAATAGTAGGATCCTTATTATAGGGACCCAAAATAGTTTACCCCTAATTTTCGGAAACTCCCACATACTTTAGGGGGAGTTAATGATTTGAATAGGGTCTGGTACATGTTACCATGTTTTTACCAAGGAATCCCCCAAACAATATTCTAGTTACTAAGGCCCTACATTAGACACGGATACTCCTCTGCTATTGCAATTTTCAGGCTGATCGTCTGTTGATGAAACCGTGAACTTTAAACGGTCCATTCTCAATATGCTTGTTCGTAGCAGACCCCAGTATTCGTTGTCGTAGCAGAAGCGGTGGCGGCAGCAGTCGCAAAGCAGCGGCACTAGTAGCAGTAACAATGGCAGTAGCAGAAGTGGTAGTAGGTAGCGGCGGCAGGAGTTGAAGTACTAGCGGCAGTAGCACTTACAGCAGAGGTCGCGGAAGACCTCGACGTGGAGGCAGTACTCGTCTCCGTCGTCGGCTTCGACTCAAGACGTAGTCGGAGAAGCAGACAGCAGCAGCAGCAGCAGCAGCCGCGGCAGCGGCAGTCGTCGTCGTCGTCGTCACGGAAGTAGCTGCAAAGCCTCCGTAGCCATGCCAATACCACAATCATCATCATAGTTCGTGGTGTTACCGTGCCTCTGGTGTCCGTTGCTTGTCACGCAAGTAGAACTCAGTGAATGCCATGTTGATGACATGCGCTACAATGAGTACCGTCACCACTGCGACAAGCCATGTTTAACTTGAGTGCAGACAGGCCTTCACGAACATGTATCATGTATCCATATAGTGTTGTATACACACGCAAATACTATTATATGCGTGCACTTCCACACGCGGAGACGTCCAGGCCCTAAACAAAACCCTAAAACATACCCGTGTTTCTCTCGCTTCTGTCCTTGGCTCCCGGCACCCTCGGCGCCACATACAGACAACCAAGCCCCAAACATCTTAAGTATCCTCGCTTTTCTGGGTTTCTCTCTGGGCTCCCGGCACCCTCGGCGCCACTGGGGGCACCGGAGCCCAAACGCTCACCGATGGCGATGACGTTGAAGCCCCACTGCCTCGAAGGGCGGCTTTCAGTCTTGGAGGGCTTACCCTAACCCTAAGGGTCCATGTACCCGTATAAGAGATACATGGGCCCCAAAGTACCTACATAGGGACTACATTACGGCCAAAGTATATACTCTATGGGTACATGGACCCTTAGGGTAAGGGTGGGAGAGCCCTTGGGTCTCTTTGGGGTCTCGGAAATCCTACATTTTGAGGTTCCTTAAGGTGCTAGGAGCCTTAGGGTAGGGTCTCAGGTTTACAGGCTTTGGGTTGTATAGTGTCTAAGGGTCTTAGGGATTGAGGATTAAGGTTCAGGGTTTCAGGGTTCACGCTTAGTGGCACTAGGGTGTACGCAGGCTTGCTTAGGGTTCATGGGTTTGCTTTGGTTTGCAGGTTTAAACCCTTTTGGCAAGACTTACTGCTAAGGTAAAGGAACATTTACAGAACCATAAACCCTGGGCCGTCCAACATAGGAGAAAGTGTGAGAGCAGGTAGGCGTAGGCCCGCGGCACAACCACTAACTCCAGGCGGTCGAACAGGAAATCAGAGGCACCTGATCGAGCTTGTGCTTCGGGTTTGGGCTAGGGTTTGCACTTATATGGGGATTTAGGGCTTAGCTTAGTGCAGAGTTGCCACGAGGCCTCGCACCCGTTCGAGGTCAGAAGACAAGGTGCATAATTCAAGACCGGCTAAAACTGCATGTCAACATCGTGCGGGAAGACCTCCTACAATTTTTATGGAGGGCTGACAGCTGGGTAGGACCCAGAAAGCCCAATACCCCATTCAAGGAATATACCTTAAATTTTATGCGCTCTTCCCTTGGACAGGCCTAAGCAAAGAGGCGGGCCGCCCTGCGACGTGACCTGGGCCGTGTCTCCACGCTGTGTGATGTCTTTCGAGAAACTGTGACGGGGGCACATGGGTGGTTGTCAAAATTATGGCCCCCCTTTTAGGAACCCTAAATATAAGGTGCCGAACTGTAAATAAGGACCCGAAAAGGGACCCTAGTTTTGACAACGACTCACATGTATGGTCTTCGGTAGTGGCTCGTAGTATGCTGGATTGCCGCTGATAATCAAAACCCCAATTAAGGGTCCAAGTATCTAACAATCATATACCTCTCCAAAACCCTAAACCTACATAACTTCTCTCCCAAAACCGAGTAATATAGAACCCTTCCCCACGGGTCCAAGTACCCAATAATCATATACTCTCCAAAATCCTAACCTACACAACTACCCTAAAGCCGAGTACCTAATTACTGGGCCCTTTGGACCCTTGGGAAAAATGGCCCTATATACCGAAACTATGGGAATTATGGCACTCTAGTACATTTAAGGTAATGCAGGATTTTGTCCATCCACCGTAATGAAAATGGCCCGGATGTCAGCTTGATCTGGATGCTTCGTGACTTCGGAGACCGGAGAGGCCCCAAAGAGTCCCAGACCTTCCAAAATCCCGTAATTAAGGAATATACCCTAAATTATAATTATAATACGGTCCTTAATAATATTTCAGGAATATACCCTAAATTATAATACGGTCCCTAGTATTATTTCAGGAATATACCCTAAATTATACTACGGTCCCTAATATGATTTAAGTATCTTCCTTAACTAAGGGGTTTTGGAAGGCCCAGAGTTCTCAACCGCCCCGAGATGACTACGGCCGTCCCTGGGCCCAAAGGTTGATGCATGAAAAAATCAGGAGGAGATCTGGGCTGTGGTGGGCGTTTATTGCTCAAACTGTAAGACTATGAACAAAAAAGGGGTTAGTTTTGGGGTATAATTATATATATTCATATATATATATATATATATATATATATATATATATATATATATATATATATATATATATACTTATATATATATATATATATTATAGTCTTATGTCACCAATCATACCAGCCCCTATGCTTTGAACGATTGCAGGCTCAACACAACTACGTAAGGCTACAAGTAGTTCGCCAAAATTAGGGTCCCCTTGAGGGTCCTTCTTCTAGGGTGCCGTAATTACCATTTTTGGGGACCTAAGAAGGGACCCTAATTTAGAGAACTACGCGTGAACCAGAACTAGGCCTCTGAGCCTTTTATGGCTGACGGTTCAGCGCAGAATCGTAAAGTGTTCCCCCTCTTTCTGTCAGGACCCCTATGACTGAAGACTAGTTATGCTTATCGGATTGGAAACTGTGCCGCCGGACGTTTTGTCGAAGTTCGGCCAAGCTCGAGCCCACTTGTGGGATCGTCAAGCCTGGGTGGTGGTCTGCTTGAATGTGATGCTGTGTTTGCCAAAGAATATCCCAAACCCTCAAGTCAGAAGACCAAGTCCTAGTCTCTGTGTGTCACATTTCCGTACCAGCTGCATCTCATCTCACATCTACGCAGTCGGGTGTGGGGGAGGGTAAGATTTCGGAGCATTTTTTTTGGCCCCGCGGCCAACATAAACTTCTCTGTAAAATTTGCTCACCACACGGATAGTGCAGATATGCACACATGTCCATGCGATACTACGTTGCGTGATCAACTCTGAATTCATCTTGAAGGACCTGGTTGTTCATCATTAAGGCAGACATGTCGCGACATCAACAATGATAATACCAGGTGTTGTTCTGTGCCAGTGTGAAGCTGGACAGAGATGACAAAGATGACTGTACTCAATTGTTGCGGATGTGTGATTTGTATATGTTGCGACCGAACGAAAGACGAAAGACTAGTGAGGCACTTGTTTGCCCTTATGCTGGCACACGTCACAGACGCGTGGACTACTAAACATGCATGTTGTCCGACTTGGTCAATATTCTCTACCATGATGAACCTCTTCACCCTTTCAACCCTCTAAACTCGATTCCCTGAGACCCAAACCGAAAGCCTCAAACTATCAGCCCCAAGCTCTTAACCCAAAACCCTTAACCCCTGGAGCACCTGGATAGGGCCGGTCAACGATGGTTTGCGTCGTCAGCTCAAGCTCAATGCCCGTCCTCGGGAGCGGCTGGCATCAGGGTTTTCTGAGTCGGTTAAGGGCTTTAGGGTTTCGGTTTTAGGGGTTTAGGACTTTAGGGTTTCGGGTTTGGGGTTTAGGGTTTGGGGTGTAGAGTTTCGGGGTTAGGGTCTAAAGTTAGAGCTTAGACTTGAGGGTTTAGGGTTAGTTTTTTAGGGCTTGGAGTTTTTAGTCTAAGGTTTCGGGTCAAGGGTCTAGGTCCCGATGGTTTTGTGGCTTAGGCATTGTTGTTTTGTTCTTACCCTATACCCTAAACCGCGTCTTGGGTTTAAGGTTTTGGAGAGGGATTTTCGGCTTGCGGGGGAGTCTCGGAGTTTAGCTTTGTAGGGCACTGGGGCTTCTCTATGGATGTTGCAGCTCGAGGTTGTGATATTTTGGCTGCACGGATGACCCTTTAAAGCCTTTGAGCATTGTTCGTAAGTAAGATCTCGTTTAACGATATGTGCCATTAACTGATAAATCACAAGATCGTAGAAGCGACGTCACCGATACAGTGGGCTTCTGCTTCTCAAACTCTACACAGACCTCCTCAACAGTACTCACTACCCAGGGAGAACTCATCAACCTTACCACAACATTGTCTCAGCCGACCCCTGGCTCATAGACCCTCATCCTAGGACGTGGGAACAAAAGTTGAACCCTACACATAAAACCAAAACCATACAGTCTCTAATTCCAGACTTGATCGCGAGGGGGCAAGAAGCCCACACCCTCAAAGCCCTCATTACATCCCCAAACCCGTACATGCAACCCCGAAACCCATAAGCTTAAACCCCAAAGCACAAAACCCCAGGTCAAAATCACTTTGAGTCACAGGCAGCTGCAAAGCACCGGTGGCGTAGCTCTTTGTACTCAGGATGAGCCCACGTCCTGGATTGGACACCTGGCCGCTTCGAGGTTCAGGGGGTTTAGAGTCGTTTAGGTTTCTTAGTTGTCCTTGGGGCGTTTAAAAATTGTAGAGGCTCCTGGAACTTCAATAATGTTGAATGGGCTTTTGGAGATACCTCATAGCATTAACTGTTTTGTAAAGACGAGAAGGGATGCGATAGCTAAGTTGCAAGGCTGGGTTTTGTAGTCCTTTAAGGGTTCCTTTACAGGGCAAGACAGTTGACTCTGGGCTAAGGTTTTGTGTCTGTAGGGGTTTGGGGTGCAGGGCCTTGGGATTATAGGGCAAGTTTCAGGTTTTAGTCTGCTTTGTTATGGGAGTTTCCGAAAATAGGGGACCCTTATATAGTACCCTAAATAATAGGATCCTTATTATAAGGACCCCAAGATAAGGTACCCCTAATTTTCGGAAACTCCCTTATCAGGGCTGTATACAGGCTTCACTGAACGAATGGCTCACTAGCCAGAGAGATGACGAGATAGGACAAGATTTCTAGAGGTTAAAGGGAACTCCAGAAAGTTGGAATATGAAATAATGGCAGGATCCCCTATAATTTACCTTAAAGGGGTTATGATACTGTACGATGCCGAAACAAATCATATTCGCAAAGATACGTCGCGCGCTGTGATGCTTAATGGGTAGTGAAAGCTCAGAGTTTGGGGGTCTTAAAGTACATGGGAAATTCCAAGTAGCTTACTTTAAGCATGTACAGCTATGACTTTCGAAGCTGATTACCTATAGCCCTACTTGCAACCGCTCGTGCACATTCAAACACACGGTGCGCACATGGTGCCATAGCAACATGATCCAAAACCAATCAGAGCATGGATTTTAGGACCTGGAACCCTACTTGGAGGCCCAGGGGACTTAGTAAGTAGATAATAAGTAGGCTTATCGTTGGGGTAACTCCATTTAGGGTACTCATAACCCTACTTATAACCTACTTACTAAGTCCCTTGGGCCTCTAAGTACTGTTTGTGTACTTGGACCCGCTGGGGATGTGCGCATCCGAAATCCCCGACGCCTCTGCTGGAGCTCCGCTGCTTAAAGGCACCGTGGCGGCAGCAGCGCTGCCTGCAGCCAGATTCTCAGTCACCGGTTTAGGGTTATAGGGCTTGGGGTTTAGGGGTTCTCAGTTCTTCAAAGCAGCCAGAAACCCCCGAAGGCTAAAACAAAAGTCCATCTTGAACTGCCATGACCTACTTGTTTGTAGGTTCTGATTATAAACCCTCATAATATGGAACTCACGGGGACCCTATAACTAAGCAACCTTTGGTAGTTCGAGGCACAGCCTAACCAGCCGACTCTCATTTGGGGCCCTGACCAGTACTCCCTAAACCACCTAAACCCCTAAACCCTTAAACCCTAAACCAAAAACCCCCAAACCCTAAACCCTAAACCCCTAAACCCTAAACCCTACACCCCTAAACCCTCTCACTTGGGGCCCTGACCGATGCTGATTGTGGCCGACATCACACGATCCACCAGAGCCGTGCTGTTGCTTCGGATGACAGCCTGACAGGATGAGGGTGAGGGTTCCTAGAGACTCCGTTAAGGAGCCCTTTAAGGATCTCTTTAAAGGTACCCCTAATTTTCCTAAAGGTTGGTTGGTCGGCTTAGGAGAGAGAACATGGGGATTACGCTTCGCTACAAGCAGAAACTAGCCAGAGACTCCAATATCCCTTAATGAAGGAATATTCCTTAAATCATATTGGGGATCCTATTATAATTTAAGATATATTCCTTAATTAAGGGATATTGGAGTTTCTGGGGGTTCCTAGAAACTTCACATCTTCTGGGGTACCTACTTGTCGGGTATCTGAGGATTATATAGGGGCTATACTACCTAAAAACGGGTAAAGGTTACCTACTCTACTTCTAGGGTGAAGGAATAGAGTACCTCATCAACTCTGGGGTTCAGGAGTAAGGAGTTACCATGGCGGGCCTTTTCGGAAAGCTTTGAGGGTTTCGGATGAGAGCTTTCGTGCAGTTTAAAGCTCTTTCGGCTGCGGCTCCTAAGCCCCCCATCGGTCTCCGCTGGAGGCCACATTCCATCATGGTACCAGGCTTGTGGGTTTAGTGGCTTTTAAGCTCTAGGGTTTAGGCTTTAGGCTTTAGGGTTTTAAAATGTAAAATTTAAGGCTTACCTATATAGTCTCCATTGTAGTTCCTTTTTGGGGTTACCTGTTAGGATCCTTATAATATATAAAAGTGGTTAAACCATGAAAAGGAGCTACAATGGTAGACTATAGCTACTATACCCTAAACCCTAAAGATCCCTCATAGGAGTCCTTATATAGATCCTTTAAAGGGACCCTTATAGGTACACCCCTTATAGGTAGAGAGTACCAGGTGGAGCTGGGCCTTGAGCCGGAGCCAGAGGGAAGCTCTTGCAGTCAGCCATGTTGACACGGGACAGGGATGAGGGAGGGAAGCGAGAGGTAGAATCGTGAACATTAGGGGATCATTGGGCTCGTATCATTAACAGAGGGACAGGGAGAGGGAGGGAGGGAGAGGGAGGGAGAGAGAGAGAGAGAAAGCGAGAGAGAGGGAGAGAGAGAGGCACAGACACACAGAGACAGACAACATGACATAAGAACGGTCGTTTCTGGCTGAGGCTCTGGCAGAAATAGTGCCATTGGCAAGGTTGTACGCCGCCACCAAAGTCTGGTTCAGGGCGGCATGCGAGCAACAGGAGGCAAGCAACAACTCAGACTCTAATTCCTAAGCCCTAAACCCGTAAACCCTAAACCCCTAAACCCCTTAACCCTAAACAGCAAAACCACGAGGAGAGGATGGGCCATGCCCCGAAGTTTTGCCTAATTACCCTTTTTCGCTGCCCATCGAATAACCTGTAAACTCTGCGGCCTTAAACCCTCAAGTCATCATAAGCCTTGAACCACGCATCATTTAACCCTGAACCCTAAGCCACTGTAACCCGTAAACCACTAGACCGTTGTAAACCCTACACCCCTAAACCCTAAACCCTGCGAACCCTTCCGCCGATACAAACTCTGAACCCCAAGCCCTGACCCCCAAAATCGCCAAACCTCTGAACCCTGAACCCCCAAACCCTCATCCCCAAACCCTGCACACCCCCCCCCCCACCCCCTAGCGGACCAGGTCTGCCAGCGCCAGAAGTGGGGTTGCAGCCAAGGGCTGCCCTGATGGGCCAGGTCCTTTTCCAGACGAATTAAGGTTTAGGGTTTGGGTTTTTTTTTTTTAAAGTGTATTGGCTCTTTATCCACTCCGCAGGAGCAGGTCTCGGGCCCGCCATGGTCGGCTTACACTACAAAGCAACTCTCAGACAGTCACCCTCATTGTTGTCCGGGCCACAATCTGCAGAACAAAAGAAAACGAAGATGCATATCACGAATCTCGGCTGCGACTTCTGTCACGTACAAGGTCTCCTCTTCGACGGCAAGACTCACCCCATGGACGACTTACCCGACGACGTACAGCCCTGCGACGAAAATGTAGTGCACGAGATCGACGAGGAGGGACAGGAAGATGATCAGCTTGTCCACGACGAGGATCATGAAGACTTTCAGTAGCATCCACAAAGCGAGGAGGAGGTCGTCGAGTACGATGACGTCTTCTTCCCACAGTCGAACCTCCAGGTACTCCACCAAAAGTAGCAGATCCAGGTGCATTGCTGGCAGCACCAAGCATCGGTGACATGGGGACATCCTCAGGCCAGTTGGGGATGCCTGCACTCTCATCCTGTGCACTAAATAGAGTGTCTCGTCATTCTCAGATGGCCAGTTGCCTTCAGGAGCTGCCAAAGCTTGTTCCACATAGAGCCTTCTGCTATGGACTCGCCAGGCACGACGACGATACCCAACAATCGTGTTTGGCGCCGTCCCCGGGAACATCGCAAGCATCGCCTCCACTGACGTAGGGAACCCAGGCATGAGGAGTGCTGAAGGGGCCGACACAGTCGTGTTCATAGAGGTGGTGGTAGGCCCAGAGCCGAATTCAGCCTGATGAAGAATCGTTGACCAGATGGCTTGCTCGTAGGTGGCAGCATTGAGTGGTACTGCTGGAAGTGGTATCTGAATCCAGTTGAGTGCCTCTTCAATGGCATCCTCCAATAGGCGTTGTCGATGGCGTCCTCGTCGAAGGTGCACAAGGAGGCGTCGAACAAGCTCAACCACGTCCACACTTCCACCGTGGATGAGGTTGACATTCACCACGTCCCTGACCACGTCAGACGGCCAGGTTATGCCCAAGGATGAAGAGCTTGTCGTCGTAGTCGTAGAGGAAGTCAACACACTGAGATTTTGCACATCATCCCAAGATTCCATCATCCCTAACATTCCCCCACCAGAGAACACCACGGGATTCAGTGAGGCAGACCACGACCATGTGGAAAACGTAGTCATTGTCGAAACTGCAGAGGTGGAAGACCAGGAAGTCGTGCTCGTGGACGTTGTAGAGGAGATATCCTCCGAAGGTGCAATGCCTGCATCATCAAGTGGAAAAGCACCAATGCCGCCAGCAGAGTTCTCTGGGTCTTCGTCATGCATGGTGTCACTGTGGGAGGAGGATGCTTCCACAGGCTCGCGCCATATTCCTTGCAGTTCATCCGTCGGGAGATTGACAGGCATGGGAGGGGGAGGGCCAAAGGGGCCATGTGTGGGCGATCTTGGCGGTACCCAAACAATTTCTCCCTGCGAATTCGCAGCCCACTCGCTGTTCATCGACGGCACATGTACACTAGTCCCCGTCGGACTTCTGGATCTGGTTCGCCTGTCCCTCCGCCGAGAGGCACGTCTGCGCGAAGAAGAGCGCCTCCCCGAAGTAGAAGAACTGGCTGCCTCCGTCCAGATGAGCGCGCCCCCTCACTTGATGGAAGACTGACCTGCTCCGGCGAGGATGCTGGCATGGAAGGTGTGCCTTCAGTATCAGCTGGTTGTAGGGGTACTGACAGATGGCGTTCAAGTGTAGTGGTGAATAGCTGAATGGGGAGAAAGCCTCGGGGGACCAGTCGTCGGGTGATCACCTCATAGAGGGCTTCCAGAGCCTCCATCCCGTCAATGAGGCGATGACGAAGACATCCTAAAGCCCATCTGCCTTCTGGGCCCTGATCTTGTTCTTGCATACGGTCCAGTATCTGGAAGAGATTCTCAACGCGCTGGACCATGTTTTCAGGAACACCACGCTCCTCAAGGCGACGGCAATCAGCTCCCGTGAGTTGCATCAGCATCGTCTCCTCGACCTCGGGTAGTGGTCGCCCCGTGAGAAGGGAGACTGTGGCAGGCCTGACTTCTGGGAAGAGCCCTGCATTGGGGAGTGGTGTGTTCATCTCCTCATCATCGTCCTCGTCAGTCACTTCTCCCTCAGGAGAGGCAGTGGTGGTAGTCGTTGTAGTTCCACATGTGCAGATAGAAGGTAAGGGGCTGCGCATCCACGTCGAAGAACAACATCCCATAGCAGCATTGTTGTGATTCTCAGCGGGGAACCAAACATATGGAATGTCATCCTGCCAGGCTTCGTTTGCCACCCACGTGGTAGAGCTCGTCGTCCAACCTGACCATTGACCATGATGAAGAGGAATTCCACGGAGACGTAGACCACGAGGAACCAAGAGACGAGGAAGAGGAACCATGCCAGGATGTCCATGTCGAATTCCCAGTCCAGTTCCACGATGTAGAATTCCCAGCCCAACTCCAAGATGTCCATGTGCTCCACTCCTCAGGTTGCCACTCCCACGTCTCATCACCCACATGCTCCACTGCAGGCTCTTCCTCCAAGACGGGTGGGTCTGCAGGTTCGTCTCGATGCCACCAACTGGCATTTTCCGTCACTGTCACCACTGTCACGGGCGTGGTCTCAGGCAAGGCAGGCTCAACATCTCCATGTGGTTCGTCATCAATACCAGGTGAGGCGGGAGTCTCCTGGCATGTCTGTTCTCGCAGGCGGGTGCGCGCTTCCTTTTCTTTGACATAGGCATTGAGCCAAGCAGGCCGCCATGCACCAGCGAAGTATTCCCGCATGCGTCTCTGCTGTTTGATCCATCGCTGCATGCCTCCACCTCCCACATGTGCTCTCCGCTCCGCCTCCGTTCGAGAGCGAGGCACCCATTTGCCATGTTTCCAGAATCCGACCTCATGTGAGGAGCCAGCGGCATCGGTCGAGGATGCAGGGCCCGAGTCGTCGTCAACATCCGCCGTATCTGTTGTGGTGTTCATCTCAGTGGTGCTCACCGCAGTGGTTGCATCCTCACCCGCAGTCGTGGTGTTGTCTTGGGCAGCACCTAGACCACTGGACCACACCTCGAAGGTCTCCCCATAGAACGACTTGGCGACGACTACTGGACCATCCTCCCTCTCCTCCGCTCCCATCACTGTGAATGGCGACCCATTTTCCTCAATGGTTTGAAGACGAGCTTGTTCTTCACGAAGTCGTCGTTCCCGTTGTCGATTATGCACCGAACCATCGGCATGATGCCATCTGTCTCTGCCCGGACGAACCCTGTTGAAACGTCGGGTGATGCCCTCATCTTCCACATCGTCAGCAACTTCTTCATGAGGAGGAGAAGAAGCAGAGGTACTTGAGATCCACGTGCATCCCCATGGATCATCCCGATCATCTTGAGCATTCACTGTAGCATCCATTGCAGGTGAGGTAGAAGGTGGGCTCCAGGGCGATGTGGATGAAGACGAGGCCGAAGAAGAACACCACGTACACTTCGGCAGGGATGAGGTCGGAGGTGTCGTAGAGGAAGCACTCGAGGTAGGACACAGCTCATCACCACCAGGTCCATCTGGGGTATTCATCGGAATCAGGAGGCTGCGAGGATCACGACCAGGTTGATTCCACCCTCTCAGTGCACGTCCATCTCTGAGATTGTCAAAGACCAGTGCCCAGTCAACAGCAGGTTGCTCGGCTTCTCCAGGAAGGAAAGGAACAGGAAGCATCTCCGGAAGAGGGGCTGAGGAGGCATGTTCGAAAGCAACCTCTTCCTCCGCAAAAGTCTCGATTTGAAGAGAGACAGAAACGTCCTCATCCCAAGCAGCCGCCATGAAGCGTGTGTACTGTTCGTGCGTCCACGGAGGGTGCGAAGATGTAGGCATCGGTGTCTGTGGGGTCTCCGAACACAGACACGAGGAGCCAGTCGCCGACGTGTTCTCCGGATCATCCATTTCTGTCTCCCACACTACTCCCAACGCCAGGGAAGGCAGCGCCAGCACGCGGAGGAGCAACATATTGACGAAGGAGTTCACGGGGCAGGAGGGCCACAAAGAAAATCTTCCTCGAACAGAAGCAAGGCTGCGAGCAAGAACGAGCATAGTGCAAACCGAATCATGACATGCATCTCTTTCCACTGTCTGACACCAGATCACAATCACGAAGGCAGTCACACTGAGGTTCGAAAGGTTTAACGAGTGCTGTAAGCATGCATTCAATCACAATCAAGTGTTCATTCTCCCACCCAACTGCATCCCAAGTCCACTCAGTATGTGGCACAACTTCACTCGGACTATCAGGGCGGTTGGTCGAAGTTTTAATAACGAAGGGCAAGCTGACGTCCTTGGGTCCAGCGGACGTCCCACTGTGAGACATAGAGTTGACGTGATGCACTCCATGCAATTCTGTCTTGTGCCAGAACGTGCCAGAGCGTACCATGGGTGTCGGCAAGCTGTCGCTCTGTGTTGGCAGCATAAAATCTAGCCGGATGCCTCATGCCACATGTAGGTGTGAGGGATTGCTGATATCTCCACCAGTGCGTACATCTCCAAAGAAGTGCACGAAAAGGTGGACACACCGAGGGAGGTCGAGAGGGGGTCCTAGGCTCAACATGACGTGCCCAATGGCCATGGAGTGTATGCTGAAGAGTTAAGATCTTCGCGCTCCATCTTGGAATGCCATTGTTGTGCAGCCAGCAGCGGCAGAATCTTAGCGTGCGGCTATTCCAGTCGACCCAGTTCTCACCTTGAAAAACGTTTAAGACGAAAAGCTCTGCGGACAAGATGGAGTTGTACGACATTGGCTGCATGTAGATCATCTCCGCTCCAATAGAGCGCGCCTGCAGTCCAAGACCACTGGGATTCAACAAGACAGCGGATCATGTCGATCTTCTTCGCCCAAGGTCCACTGGCACATAGAATGTCCTGGTGTTTGGCAGCCGCACCCCTTGCTCGACCCAAGAGTTCCTGAGCTTGTTGGGACGGTC